CCTGGGTGAGGGGGAGTCCCCAACGATGGTCTCCAGCTGCCATGGCGCCAACGAGTGACCTCCTAGACTCCTAGGAGCAATGATCGGGATGTCCTTCCTCTTATTGTTCCGGGCTATGGCGGGTTGCGGAGGTACCAGCCGCGGGCGGCAAGGACGGGGGCGATCCCTGCGATTCCTGCTGCTAAAGGACATTCAGCAGTTCTGCAAATGTCATTGCGCCAGTGCGGGGGTGCCTACGTGGGGCCATGTGCGCTACACTGTGCTTCGAGGTCTCAACATGTAAGGTGCAATTGATGGGACACTGAGCACAGGCTCAAGTGTCGCAACGCAACAAACAAGAGCACCAACGTCAGATGTCCTTAAGCGAGTGTCTGCGCAGGCATGCTTCACAGACGTGAGGAAGACACAACATCGTCAAAGCTCACCGAGGCGGAAACTGGTTATCAGGGTTCTATGGAGGTGCTCCTATGTCGGCCATAACAGCCTTGGTGAGATGTGCCGCGGGTCACCCGACCGTCACCCAGGCGGAAGCCAGGCGAAGCCCGCCCACGCCGGCTGCTTGCGTTTTCGGTAGATGTCCTTGCGGAACGCCATCCTGCAAGAGCTCCACAAAGCGCAGCGTGGTATAGGTCAAGGCCATGAACCGCCGCATGAAGTCGTTGCGGATCATGACGACGGTCTTGTCAGGATCGAACTCATAGACCGCAAGGTCATAGAAGGGAGGGTCCCGCAGATACTCCGTCATGTCATAGCAGCCAGGTGCTCAGGGTTGTTCTGTGTCTCATCGAAGTACTTGCCGGGGTGCATCTCTGTCGGGAGGAGATCCGGGCAATGTGGGGGTCTAGCTCCCCTCTTGTCGCGGCAAGGATGTCCTGCATGTTGGAGCGGTTCCAGGTCTCCCTCGCGACATCAAAGAAGACGTCCTAGTCACAACTCAAGCAATGCCCAACCTCCGTGAGGAGTCCATGCGGCACAGGGACTTCGTGACCTACCCCATGGAGAGCATCAAAGATTCCGGGGCCCGCAATCAAAGGTGCAATCTCTTTTTGCACTGCTCGAAAAAGGTATCGTCGATGTGCCAAGGTCTGGCGCTCTAGAGCATGTGCTGTCACCGAGGCGGAATGCGCAAGGCGTTGAAATACTATGATGCGCCGCAAGCTGAGCTGCAGGCTTCTGCAATCCATTTAGGAAACGTGCAATAGTAGAGTCAACCAGGGCTCTCACCGATGCAGACTACCGCTGGGGGATGCTATTAAAGAAGAAATGTGATTGTGGGCCTGTTCCAGGCCAGTTCCTCTCGGTGAGATTCGGCCCTGTGAGAGGGGAGTTCACTCTGCTAATGGCCATCACTGGACAAGATCTGGGCTCTCACCGAGGCGGAATGCCAGCAGATCTGTCCTCGTTCACCGGCGCCACTCGAAGCGGTTGCGGGGGCCAATCAAGACGAGGCGGTTCATGAAGCCCCGGGCAAATGGCTCTCTGTTCTGTGGAGCCAAAGTAAAGCAACGCAGTCCAAGATTGCCCCAGTCATGCAACTCACGACTGGGTTGACATGTGACATAGAGTAGCTGCTGGTCAAGGCCCCGCAAAGGAATGAAGGAATGGCCAGGCGCGTCCACTGGCGGAGTACCTGGTAGCACTCTCTGGCTTCGCGCCGAGATGCTCCGCCCAGGGCTGCAGTAAGGAGGCGCCACACGTTGTCCTGATCAGGGTCCCAACCAAAGACGCGCTCTGTCCGGTGGGCCGAGGTCTGCGGGAGGTACATGTTGGGAGCATCCACGAAGAGGCCATAGCTCGTCACGCGGATGCCCAGCCGGTAGTCCAGGGCCCTTAAGTGCCAGGAGGAGGGAGCAATTGATGCACCAAGATGCGTCTTCTGCACGTTGCGACCAGGTGTTGCCGAGCAGGGGCAGAGATGTCGCATAGTTGACTACCCGATTGGGGAGGCCTCCGCCGTTGAAGCCCCACATACTGGCTGGCATGGTTGGCGGGCACGAATCCCGCCATGGGGAGGATGCTGCTGGCGGATGTCCGTCCTCCCGACGGTGGGTATTGTTGGTGTTGGTGAGCTGAAGGGCTGTGCGTAATGTCCATGATCGGGCGGCTGGGCTGTTTGCAGCGGCGGATAGAGGACTTGCTGTGGCCATTGCGCTGGTGGTTGTGTGTGGGTGGCTGTGCCATGTAGTGGCTGAAGGGGCAGCGTGTGGAATTCGTCGTGCCACGCATTCCACGTGTCCATAATCGGCGGGTTGCCTGCCTCGACGTGCTCCTTGTAGCCGGTGTAGGACTCAAATCGCACCATGAGCATCCGATCTTGAACCTGCAGATGGCCGTGCTCCACATCTTGCCCAAGCCGTCCATGGTGAAGCCGTCTGCTGTGGCGCGATCCACGGTCTGAAGTCGTCCGATGGTCTGCTTGTAGTTGAGGAAGCCGTCATTGCGGACCCTTTTCTGTTCTCGGACCCCTTTGAACATGGCCTCCGGGAAGACGTCTCCATGGCAATCGTCTCCGCGTGCGCAGAAGCCCCGAAAGAAGTTCCGACAGGGGTAATTGAACGGTATACACATGCCGTCCAGGAAATCAGGGTGGATCTTGCCGCACAAGCGAGGTCCGTAGCGGCACATCCGATTGGCCAAGATGTCCGGACAGATTTTGCGGTCCGCAGGAAGGTCGAACTCCGCAGATTGTCCCAAGGCGCGCTGTGCCGGGAAGTCATCACTGATGGCCCGAGTGGGCGTTCCAGATGGAACGTGCCGACTCTTTGTCCGAACATTTCGTGCCAAATGTTCATGTCTTCCAAGCGCAGTTGCTGCCAATCCAGCTCTGCGATGTCCCTGGCTCGATCGGCACGAGGCTCCATCAGATGTGACCTGATGTTCCGAATGGGTAGCTCTCACCGAGGCGGAATGCTGACCCCAAAGGAAGGCCAAAAAGAAAATCTTGCTGAATCTGGAGCTGTTCTGATCTGTTGATCCAAAATGGCATACGGATTGAATCGATCACCTGTAATCCGCATGCGATCAACACATCTTCACCTGAAGCTTGGAAGTTGTCATTAACTTCGCACACGAAACCCAAGGAAAATGGAGGATCCGCCTGATTCCCAATTGTTGACTGCGCTTTCACACATTGCTGGCCTGCTGACCTTGAACACACTTCGCTTCTGAGCTTGATTTCATCTTCTCAGACTGCCTGGGGAATCCCTTATACCACATGTCTGTATGCACAAGTATCTGCTACAAGGGCTGGAAAACCGCGTCCCCAGGAAAAACCCGCCAAAAAGATGAGCCCCGGCATCGCAGGGTGCGGGCAACTCGCCTTCCGCTCTGAGAGAGAAAGCCCCAGCATCGCAAGCATCGCATGTGAGAAAAAGCAGCGCATGCATACATATGCTGTAAGAAGCGAACAGAAGACTCGGCGTCCAGGACATACAGGGACCTTGCAGAGGATGTGGACCGAGGCGCAAAAGGCTTCCGGATGGCTCTGGCTCTTTTAAGACTGGCACGGCCTCGAGCTCGTATCAAGACCTGTAACCGAAAGAAACTGAAGACGGAGAGGGAGCGGAAGACAATTTGCAAGCTTTAGGCGTCTTGCAAAGCTTCTTCAAGCAGAAGCAGCCAGCAGCGGCAATGGCGACATGTGCCTTTGACAAAGACAGGTGCCTAGCCAGGCAGCCATTCGCAGCGCTTAGGCAAGTGCCGGGAGGCCATCTTGCTCCATAAGCTCGCGGACCTGAGCACAGCGCACAAGCGAACTCACACACGTCTCTTCATGGGAGTTGGGGACCAGCCTCGTCTACGCTGGGCTGTCGGAAGAGGGATGGCACATCCGATTCGGCATGGCCTCCGAAAAAAGCGTCAGAACCCTTCCAGTCCCGAGCATCTGGTCATGTGCCCGGAACCAAGCCGAAGACCTGACTACATATCCAGAATAATGACTGGGCTGGAAACCTGTATGCCCCTTCCGCAAGAAGTATTCATGCACATGTCTGTGACGGCAAAGGGTCAGTCTATTTTCTCTTCATCAGGATATCTGGATACCCATTACCCTCCCTGTAGCCATTTGGTCCGAGAGAGCGGATTTGGGATTCAAAGGATTTTGGAGGAAAAGCAGCAGTTACAATGAGGTGATTTGATGGATGCGGCATGCTGAGCTCAAGAAAGCAAATGCGACGCAAATGCGTCCCGTTTGCCGCACAAGCTGGCAAATTGAGGCTGACAGTCAACTAAGACAAGGTACCTCCGTGGGCGATGGTGTTGGAAACAACCCCTGCTGATTCCACGCCTGCGAAATGGGTAAATAGGTGCTCGTGCTTGGGACACCTACTGCCTGTAGCCTACTAGATGATGCCCTACTAACAAAGTGCTGGAAGTACACAAGTACGCCGACCAAAAACTTATAAACTGCTTGCCCTGGTGATCAGAATGCTGCCTGCTTCTGCACACATATCCGCCACAGGCACTGAAATAGCAGCATCCTGACCAAATTTCTGCGGTCTGCGTCACAGCTTCTAGGCTCTTGCAGCTGGGCTCTGCCTCACGCTCACGCGGCTCACGCTCTCCTTGGGACTCTCCAGCTTCGGGCACAAAGATACGATCCATGCTGTCAGCAAAGGCCTGACGCAAGGCTCACTCTGCTTCGACAGAATGCGCAGAACGCACACATATCTTTGTATGCTTTATGCAAGTTGCACATGTTACACATGCATTATTCAGCGCCTGCCAGCCGTGAGCAATTCCTTTGCTTGCACCCTTCAAGCGTGAATGCCAGGCATCTGCCATCGGCCTGAGCTGAGCAGCGGAGCACCGTAACTTATTGCATCACATTTTTGCAGCACTTTTGCCAAGCCTTGCCTCAGGGCCTCGCAGCCTGCCAGGTGCTGCCAGCACTGGCAGCTGAAATCTTTTTCCTCATCCCCTGCATCCCTGCCTTCATCTTGCACCTCGGCTCAAAGAGAAACATGGCTACCACTGCACTACATGCCCTAATGTTACGTTTTCTAGACCTCTTTGTCTAAGTCCACTTCGGCGAGATCCTCGCTGGTCCACGGCCGCGCTGGAAAGGACGGATCAAGCGCATGATCCACATTGCGGGGCACCGCGATGCCCATCTCCAGAGGCCTGGTGTGGCTTCAGCACTTGTAGAAAAAGAGTGTGCACCCGACTTCAAGGCCTTTTCCACGAAGCGTCCCGCACTGCTCTGGCGTAGGTGTTGCCTTTGTTTGCCCGAAATCTCCCCAAAAAACTGCCAAAGGCTTTCCAATGTAGCAACCCCAAGACGAGGTGCCCGGATCAATTACAAACCCTGGTGGGCACGAACTGGTGTGGAACCCGCCCAGTTGATGCGGCTGCGAGGGCTGCGCAGGCTGCACGGGCTGCGAGTAACATTGCGTGTCTGGCGCGTTCACCAAACTCTCCTGCGCCGGCACCGCTGGCACCGCTGGCACCGCTGGCACCGCTGGCACCGCTGGCACCGCTGCCATGCTCCCAGTGTCGAAAACTGCTTCGGTGACCGACCCCGTCGTTGTCGCAGCGCCCTTTGCGCCCAAGGACTGGCTTAGAAGATCAAGCTCATGTGATAGCAGTCGCAGCTCCTTCTCGACTCCTTGACCAGAGCTGGGCGACGCGAGTGCAAGCTCAGAGGACTCAGAGGGCACTGTCAGTGCAGGTACATGCGGAGCGCTCTCTATGCTCGCCAAGCTTGTCGTGTCTGCGCGCCCTTCCTCCAAAGATCGGTTCAACGAGCTGAGCTCCTGAAATGGATTCCCGCGTTCTTCAACTTCAACTAGACAAAACGCACCCCCCCCTTGGCCTCCATGAGGCGCTCCAGGTCGCTGTGCGAGGGCCACTTTTGACCCCCCTCCACTGCAGCTGCAGTCACTGCAGTCACTGCAGGCTGGCTGAGGCTGAGTTGGTTGTAGCTCTGAAGATCTGGTGGTGCTTGGGCTCGGCCTGGCAACACAGCTATGATTCGCTATGATCCTTTCGGTTCCAAAGTTTTGTTTTCAACCGGTGCCGTGAAGAATGCTTTTGGGCGAGGTAAGGCGAGGTGAACATCCCTCACAAGCACAACGTGTGTGTGTGTGTGCGTGTGAACCACCTGTCTGCCAAGGTTTCTTTAGTTATTCTGCAGGGGGCAGAGGCACCCATACAGACTCCTCTGCTAACAAAGCTGGTCTGTATGTGGTGAGGATATCACTGGGGACGCTCAGTGACGTACCTGCAAAAGGTGGACAGGACCCTTATCCACCAAAAAAGTCGGGCCCTTTTCTTTTTCCTGAAACAAGTTTTCAGAAATCCAACATGTCAG